TGGTGTAATGGGTTGAACGGGTTGATTAACTAGTTGGAGTTTGGTTTCATCATCTCCCAACGATCACCTATACCATCATTCGAGTGCTGCTACCAATCCGGGTGTCCAGCAGCAGACAGCAAGCATTCCCAGTTGGTATTTCAAATGTCACGACTAGTTAGGGGCAAGGTTCTCAAATGCAGCCACTGCAAAATGGCTAGAATTGCTCAGTGCACGCTGAATCCAATGGGTTCGAACACCTAACGCATTCATAATACTGCTCACAGTTTGTAAAATTAAGATCGAGACATATGGAATGATGCCCACGAAGTTGTCTTAGTGGCTGTTCGTGGGGCCGCACAGCACCGGTCTCTGTTATCATAATAGCCAAGGTCAATTCTTGAGTGCTAATATCAGGTAAGGTTTCTAACGTTAATCAGTCAAACTGTAACAAACTACGACATATTAGAAGCTGCAACCTAACTTAAACCTTACCAACGGAAGCATTAGCAGGTCTCCGATAGACCGCCCCCATGCTTAGTTCATTCGCTACGACAGTTACGCGTCAAAAAGTTGTTGGCACAGCGTCAGTACTGTATTTCATAAACATTAGCCTGGCTCGCATGCTTCACTTATGTATATCGGAACGCCTTGCTCATCGGGGTCCAAGAGCTTATCGACCAAAATTTGAAATAATGCGACAAAATTTCGTAGAGGATATGTGGGTAGAAAGTTTCCGTCGCCAGGGCGTGAAAGTCTAACAAATGAGGTATCAGCCAATAAGGTCAGACGCTCAATGGTGCATGGAGTCACCACTGTAGGTCTCCTGGCTGTGACGTTCCACGGTGGCTCATTTGTAGTTTCATGGTCGGCGACTGCAGCAGTTTACTCTTCGGAGCTGCCCGCCGTGCTCGTCGGATTACTATTAGAAACTAACACGCATGTGATAAAAGTGATGGCACTAAATCCAAATTATCTGGAGAACTGGTGTGTTTTAGGTCTAAAGCATGTTTAGTCGGATATTTTGGGTGGTTTTTGAATGAAACCATACTGCGCTTCCTGGTTCGTCTAGCAGAAGATATAGACAAGCATCTCTCAGTATTTTGATGCGGTGTTCGCCTTGCAAATGCAACAGCAGCAAGGCAACATCAGCAGTTTGGTAGCAAAACCCGGTTAACAGTACGTCTTGAAATGCGATTCACTAGGTTGCGAGCAACGCTTTTGACCACTGCCATTGTAGCTGCAAGCAATACATTGAATACCCTGAGTAAGCACTTTGGTAAAATGGAAACACATTGAGCTGGAAGTAGCAAGAGGCGCAAACATCTTGGATTCCGGGTTATTCAAGCCAAATGTAAAACTTATCTTGAGGGTTAAACACTGGTACAAAGAATGTTTTACAAATTAAACTAGTCGTACGGTCGAACACGATAAGCGCACTGCGACCTTGACCTTGAAAGCTGCAGTTTAGATAACGATCGGAACGTTAAGGTGTAAACTAAATTTGAACCTTTGCTATAACCGATCATCTCATTTAAATTTCAGGGAGGCATATTGTACAGTGGCGGACGTGAAACAATAGGACAGACAAGACTAATAATGGAGATACGGATTGCGTGGTACAACTTCTTATTTTGCTTTTGCCCTTCTTCCTGTATTGCATGCTACAATGTGAACATCCTTAGAGAATTCGTTATGCCGATAAAGGAAAGTGTCAAAAGCAACCCATGAACGTGGTTGCGAATCTGTGTGCATTAGCCGTAAGATATAAATACAATATTTAACGTCCTGGAGAACTTGGCGTTGAAAGTCCCAATCATCTAGTGCCCTCTTGCAGTACCAGCGCCCGAGAAATTTCCTCTAGGAATGCCCAACTCCAGATAGAAAAAGCATACCTTAGTAACGTTGCAGTATATCCCGCAATCTTAGCGTGTAATTTTGTTCAGTTTGCTAGCAGGTGAAGCATTCAATATTGCTGCAACTAACAGCCCCTTGTAGCGGTTAAACTCACCGGATACTGTCAGCGTCCAATATAGTTTGTTCCACTGCTTACGGCAACTTTTACAATTACGCCTCTATTTGCACGCCTGATACCAGCAACCGAGAGGAAACTTCAGCAAACTCGTTCCTGAATGTTGGCGTTTATCGGATCGTACTTCGAGGAGGAAACAGCAGCGCCTCGCAAAAGGCGCAACTTTTTAACATTACTGGCAAGAATTTAGAGACAATCTGTGATGAGGCAGTTCATATTATATCTCCATGACCGACTGGATACAGCGGTTTGGCAAGGCATAAATCTAGAACTTGTTGCCGAGGCCTTGGGCAACGCCCACACTACCGAAACAGCATTTAAATGCACTGCTCTTAACAAGCAAGAAGCTGTACGTCATGTCTTGTACGGAATCGCCAGGAGCAACGAGGTGCAAGCTGCAAGATGTTGTCCAAATCTGATCCGCATTATAAAGTTGTTTGCAAGTCATAATAAGACACCACGCAATCGCCGAGACTGGTCGTCAAATACCTTGAGCAGGTAAAGTGTTCATTCATATAACCAATTTTACAGACTCTTGGCACGTTTGGTTGCCCGGCGCTTGGGTATCTCCAAGGCGGTGAGATCTCTCCTCAGCCATGGCTGCCAGAACTGTACTGTGAACTTCACATTTGACGTGCTGACCATCAAACAAGTTTTGATGGATGGTTTCACGTATACAGTCCGCGGAATAACACGAGCAAAGCAACTATCTGCAGTGCTAAATTTCATAAGAGGCAATTAATATTTTCCGCGATTGCTGCACAGCTGAGCACGGGTTGACATTCATACAGATGCAATAAACTCAGGAGTAACCAGTTTGATTTTCGAGGTACATAAAACGCATACAAGATCTCCGATAACTGACACAGGATTTTTAATTAGTTGTCGGTCATATATTGTCAGTAACATTAGTGATCACATTTGGAGAACTCTTGCAGTGCTTACATACTCACTCAACACTCCGCGCTGTCACTGGTACAAGCTTCCCCTTTTATGTTTGAACAAGGCTAAAACTTCAGGCAACTTCATTTATTCACTTCGGTTAGGTTGTGGATATTCCATTTTGCCCATAGCGCACAATTTGGCGGCTGGAACCGCCGAATCGCCCACAACGCAATCACATTTCTCATCGGTGACTGGCAACATGCCTACAACCGCGAATACAAATATTGCAACTTGTTTTCCATCACCATGCTGTCCCACCATTGGATTGACACTGAGAAAATGTTGCAAAAACAAAGTATTATTCAAGCACAATCTTTATTGCTGTGAGCACAAGGCAAAACACCATACCCGCTTACGTATGTTAATAAGGCACTTCTGCTTCACAAAACACACCATCTCTCCTGGCTTTCGCTTTCGGCACGTCCGTTCAGTTTTGGGGTCTCTTTATGGAGCAATTCCTGACCATTTCACCTCATACCTCTGCCTCTACGCGTCCCATTCTATCTGGCTTGGACTCTTTAGTTGGCCGATGATTTCCTTGAACGTGGGTATATCAACCTGCTTGGAGTTAGTCCGGAAAACGGCACCAACAACGATTACGGCTTATTTCTTGAGTTCCCGACGAATGCCTTCTATCTTCTGTCTGGCACAGATTCCCCACCGGACTAAAATCGTGCCCCGTTCTAGTCTTGTTCTGTCATGCGAGCGTTACTCTGTCTGCTGTCCCTCATTGCGCCTGTTCCCGATCCCGTCCGCCAAGTTCTTAGTAGTCTCGCTCTCATCAGGAGAATCAATATCTTCCAACAATAGGATTCCGCTAATTTTGTAGGATATATCGTGACGGTTGGTTACATTACAACCTTTCTCTCAGTTACTATGGGCATTTGCTCGTTGAAGCACCGCAGCTTCGCGGTGCTTAAATTTGTTGTTTGGGTGTTTGACGCGTTCTTTTAATAAAATGGGGGTAAGGATATTAGCGTTTGCCTTAAAACACAACATTTTATTTACAGGTCCGGAACTCGCGTGAGCTCCCTAAGCTAAGCAATGCACTGGTCGCGATGGAACTGGCGCGCAGGTGCGAGCTATACGTTCTACTGTGTTGGCTATGTCACTTCATGGGTGGGATTGCAATATCCGATGGCTTAAATGATCAACTCTTTGGTAAACCAACTGGCTCCAGTGCGCGACTGATGACCGTTCGCCTTCTACTCTAAAGAATTATGTTTGCCACTTGTATCAACGCGTATGTCCCGACTAAATGTTGTCCTGATGAGTCACGTGCCTGATTCTACAATCTGCTATCCTCCGTGATACGATCGGTGCCGAGGAGCGACCAAAATTTTTCTGGGTTATTTCAACGCACGTGTGTAGGGCCTGATGCATCTGTGTGGACAGATGTTGTCGGTCCGCATGGCATTGGTTCAGCGAATGCAAACTTTGACAGGCTACTCGCACCGTGTTCCACTCAGTGCCTGAAGACCACGAACACTCGGTTTGCACTGAGTGCGTGTGCTATAGCAAATTTGACGCACCAACGGGGTGGTCACGCTTACCTGTTCGACTATATCACCGTACGTCAGCGTGATATGTGCGAAGTGCACACGACACGTGCACTGCGTGAAGCTAAGTGTGGCACTGGTCTCAACTTGGCGCGGATCAAACCGTAAATATATTTTCGTAAATCTATGTATTGCACTCCCGCCGTGAACCAGCGTACATTTAACATTCTCTCAATCGGTATTGCAGTAAAACCTATAGAGCTATGGAAGCCGATGTTTGCACGCCTGTGTGATGTGGAATGCGGTGCCACAGTGAGTGACTAATGGCACCACATTCGCTGCCAGATGAAATCTGCTTCCAAGGCCATGAGGCATGCAAACTGTAAGCGGCCGTATAATTTGGATAAGACGGTTGCCGAATTAATGTCGGAGAAGGGTGCAGCATTTGCTGTCCATATTGCCGACTCCAGTGACTTTGTGAAGAGGAGTCAGTTCCGCAAATTATGACAGGGACGGACGTGAGAAATCCGTCGCATTAAAAATGCATGGTGGGGGGGGGGGGGGGGGGGGGGGGGGGGGGGGGGGGGGGGGGGGGGGGGGGGGGGGGGGGGGGGGGGGGGGGGGGGGGGGGGGGGGGGGGGGGGGGGGGGGGGGGGGGGGGGGGGGGGGGGGGGGGGGGGGGGGGGGGGGGGGGGGGGGGGATTGGGGGGGGGGGGGGGGGGGGGGGGGGGGGGGGGGGGGGGGGGGGGGGGGGGGGGGGGGGGGGGGGGGGGGGGGGGGGGGGGGGGGGGGGGGGGGGGGGGGGGGGGGGGGGGGGGGGGGGGGGGGGGGGGGGGGGGGGGGGGGGGGGGTAATGGAGAACGGGAGGTAGATGGAATGCTAAGCCGAACGCCTCCAACACAAGGAATTGTTTGACTCCTTGAGCATGTTGTCTGGATCGAGGTTGGAGCCGCGGAAGTCGCCAATTGATGGCAGTTTAGGAGCTATTTGCACAAAAGCTGCAGACATATTACAGATCTAGCAAAGTCACTTTGAATGTTTCTTGAGCAAAAGTTTGGTAATTGTCTGGCCTATTTTGAGTGGCCTTAAGCGGCATGATGTGCGGGTGAGTTTAGTGTACACGCCGAAACTGGATGTAGCGCAGATGGTATTTGCTCAGCTACGAAACGGCAAGCCTGCCGGTGCCGTGGGAATTTCGCCTGAATTATTGAATCACTGCTAACTTACGTTGGTGCTTGCGCTGCACCAGTTTGTGCAACGTAGTTGAATGAGGAGCGTTGTCTCCTAAGCTGAAGGATGTAAAAGGGCAAAGGGAGCCAACATCGTTGCATGAATTATCTTGACATCAATTTGCTGAGTTGTGTAGGCAAGTTGCTTTTCCTAATCCTGATCTAGTGCCTAGTCAGGCAGGTTATCCACCAGAACTTTTAAGTTGATAGAAAATCTGTGTTATGTAACAAGCATCAGCACACAAACGACGCGTTCATGACTTTGTCAATCTGTAGTTTTCCAACATAAACAAGGAAAATCTCAGGAGGATTAAAGCACTGAAATTTCTACTAAGCGATATTTTCAAGATAAATAATATACCGAGTTTTAAATATGAGTCCATTGCGCTGAAAGATTTTCTAACCTTAGAAATAAACAAATAAATATAGTGCTTCTTACAATATGCCTACTTCTCATGTAGCTAGGTTCCAAGCAGATTGCTGAAATGAACTCAAATGTTAAACGATTTAGCTAAGTAAATGTTTCATAAAATACGTTAATAACTAGAGGCACGCTGATACTCACGCTTCTATACTCCGTTGCAGCTGACGTTTGTGTCGGCTATGAAATTCTGAGGTAAGCAAATATTTTTCAAAATATTTTTCAAAATACTTGAGTGGAAGGCACACAGTCCAGCATATGGGGAATTATCTGTGAAATTCAGAGCGTGACAACTTGATAGACCCTTGTACAATTGTGGGTCGCTTAACATTTAACTCAAGACGGCTGATGGCTCAACAAGTACGGCGGTGGAAGCAGCAAACGCGCTACAGATACAATATGCCCTCGCGTTTCAAAGAGTCGTGCCACCAAGTGATCTACCAAGCTTTGTCTTCTGCTCACCAGGACTAACCCACATCACTTTCACCGCAGAGGCTGTATGGCAAAACCCGACTTCTCTACGCAAACACAGCTCGCCAGGTCTCGACACCATTCGTCCAGAGGCATTGGGAGCAACAGCAAACCAACTGGCAGGAACTTTAGCTCAGTTTTTCCAGCGCTGCTTAGACAAGAACCAATTTCCCGCCATGTGGAAGCTTGGAATAATAAGCCCGATTCACAAAGGTGGAAGCAGAACTGATCCCTCCAACTACCGCCCAGTAACCCCTCTTCCTATACTCTCCAAGGTCATGGAATCCATAGTTGCCGATGCACTGGTGTGCTATTTGGAAAACTGCAACCTCATCAGTCCTGAACAGCACTGTTTCCGTCGGCAGCGGTCATGTACAACTAATTTACTAATTGCACGCAGTAGTTGGACCGAGGCAGCTGACGCTGGAGAAGGTGTTGATGTGATCTACCTGGATTTTTCCAAGGCTTTCGATCGTCTAGACCATCGGATACTACTATCCAAGCTGCAGCATTACGGGATCGGCGACCCTCTTTTAAGCTGGATCGCCAACTTTCTACTTCAACGGCAATTATTGGTCAGAGTTCGGAGCTCTTTATCGGACCCCATACAAGTTGAGTGTGGTGTGCTGCAAGGCTCAGTTCTAGGTCCACGTTTGTTTTTGGTGTTTATTAATGACCTTACACAAGGAATAACTTCAAACTTCCTAATGTTTGCCGACGATATCAAGATCTGGCGCAGGATCCAGGCGAACGCCGACCATCATCTGCTTCAGAGTGACTTAGACACAGTTTATCAATGGTCGACCCTAAACTTATTGCATTTCAACGTCAGTAAATTCAAGGTGCTTTCCATCCGACATCAGAGCAGCTACTCATACCGACTCGGAACGGATGTACTGCAACAATCAACTCTCGAACGTGACTTGGGTGTCCTGGATCAAGATGACTTGGGTTGCTCCAGGCAATCCGAAAAGGCCTTGAAGACCGGGAACAAACACGTCGGGCTGTTGACGCGGGAATTCGGACAAAGAAACAGCTCCATATTTCGACAAATGCTCAGTGCGTATGTTCGCCCCCATGTCGAATATGCAATTCAAGCCAGGCATCCATGACTGAAACACGACCTTAATGCACTGGAGCAGCCACAACGCCGGGCATCTAAGAACGTAATTGGAATGCGCAATCTTTCCTACCAAGAGAGGCTGCAACGACTGGGATTGTTCAGTGGAAGCTATCGCAGACTATGAGGCGACCTGATTATGGCATACTTGATTCTGCGAGACCCACATCATGTGTGCCGCCCTTTACTGCAACTCATCAGCAACACAAACCTGAGGGGCCACTCATTAAAACACGCAGAAAAATACAGTCGTCTGGAGTGGCGCAGAAATTTCTTTTCCATTCGTGTCTGTCACCCGTGGAATGCTCTCCCAGAATCGGTCGTCTCTGCACCGGCACTAACAGTATTTCAAAGACGGTTGGATGATACACTCATCCACTTACATTTTGTTACTTAACACTACGTCTCCATCCTACACCTGGAGTTTACCATGGAATTATTTGTTGTTCACTGTGGGTGCTGTGAATATTAGAGGTTCGCAGGACTACAGCGAAGCAAACGATAAGTCCTTATTTTCAAATTTAAAGTATTAACTATTTTACTATCCTTATTATCATTATTGTTATGTTGGTATTCCACCAACTACCCAACTGGATTTGTAAAGCAACACTTCTTAACCCGTATAAATGCATTGTTTTTGTTCATATAAGCGGAATATTCAACATATGAAAATATTAAAACTATGTCAATTGTGAGCAATATGCTTGCTTCCATTGAACAAGTGAAACAATTATTCGGAAGGGTAAATTTATGCTTATAGGCTGCCGAAAAAGGGCAACAATGTTAACAGCATTGTTGTTTAAGTAACCCTAGCATTTATCTGCAATATTTATTTACACAATTTAATAATCACAAGAAGCATTAATATAAAGAGAAAAGTAGCGATGCACACACGGTTTTATTCTTAAGGCTGGTCTGTGATTAACTTTTGTTTCCATTGTTAGGTGAATTGCTTTCCTCTGGCAGACAGTTACACCAGCTCGCAAGGGAATGTAGGTACACATTTCGACGTTTCTCCTGCTCACTTAAATGTTTAGAAGCACTTAGCAAAAACAAAGTGTCAAGTTACACTTGTAACTTGCTACGTTTTACAAGACCACAGTATGTCTCCAACATTTACTTTATTAGTAAATCAATCTGAAGGCTATGATGCGCCGACCGAAATTGGAATCAAAAAAATGTAATTATAGGATAATGGTTTATTTCCTTTCCGTTTGTTGGTTAGAAATACAGGTTAACTAAACAAAAAATATGTTCAAGCACCACGACACCTCGGCGCTTCAACGAGCAGATGCCAATAAAATCTGAGAGACACGTAGTAAAGTAACCGACCGGCCCGGTATATCGCACTGAAATTATCGGTATCGCATTGTGGGGGAATCGGATAGATAGTGATTGCCCGGATGACATGGAGACCACTAAGACCTGGGCGGACCATAACGGGAAGAGGCGCTGTTGGGGAGGTCAGACAGAGTCCTACAGTGAGCCCGAGCCATGCAGAACTGAGAGAGTATTCGTTAAGATCCCAAAAAATGTTGACGAAACGGTCGTCGTTGCAACCTTTCGAACCAACTCCAAACAAATTGATTCATCTAGGTACACGCATAACATAGTGTCCTCCTGCGTTATTCGCCTTTAAAAGATTTATTCCCACAGAGACCTACGCGCTATCATTTGATTTGGTTCCGCCAGCTCCTCCTAACACTGTTCGTCTTTTGGATCTGTCAATCGCGGATCACCAGCAAACTGTGACTTTGAATTGTCGAAGTCAACCGTGATTGAATCTTATCGGATAATTTATTTCTGCACTCATCACACAAGACCGCTCGTGGTCTTATTCTAAATATCTTATTGAGAGCGATTCCTACCATTCCTTCTAGTCACTGTACAAAGCGACAGTAGTCAAATAGTTCCGCTCTTGGAACGGCCACTATCGTCATTAGACATTATTTTCTAAATCATATTGTTTTGCCTCAATCCTACGCTGCATCTCTGCCTATCCACTTACCGGCTGAATCGATAGCACGCACGTCGCCTATCTACCTTAAGGAATGTGTGACTCCTCTGGACGCGATAAGTTTGACCCCTCTGACATCAAAACAGCGCCCACTGCAACGCAACAAAAAGTGAAGCGAAGTCATGCACGGTGCGTCAGTATCTCTCTCCTCTTGCTACTCCTGTTGTAGTGTACATTCATTTGCTCCACTCCTTCAGGTTATCGTATAATCCGTAAACCATATCAACACCATCTGCGGTCATTCCTATTTCGCTGCCCCATCACTGACATTGACCACATATATAAGTAGAAGTATTCCATTCTAATCTAGTGGTAAATAAATAAGTGGGAGATCTACTACCTAGATTCTGAACTCTCCTTTCATATCTAAGACCTTTTAGAACTAGTGCAAATCACAGTGACAAATTGCACGCTCCAAATGGATTTGGCCTATCCGTAAGTCAATTGTGACCTATGTGTAAAAACCGTTAAGTCTGGTCCCGTTTGCTGTAACTGTCAAAAAGCGTAGAATTCGAAGTGTTTAGGGATGTGTGCACTCAAAACTAGACAATACCACAGCAAAACCAAAACATTTCTGCTCTGCCATGTAAGCAAAT